TCAGTACTACTGGTATCAATATCAACATCATCAATATCACCAATGAGGAAGACCGACGGGAGGTAAGTTTACTTCCATCCTCAGTACTTCTGGTATCAATATCAACATCATCAATATCACCAATGAGGAAGACCGACGGGAAGTATGTTTACCTCCATCTTCAGTACTACTTGTATGAAAAAAGCATCATCTATATCACCGAAGGGAAGTTTAGCATAGTGTGTCCCCCCCCCCCCCCCCCCCCCCCCCCCCCCCCAAATGCTTATATATAATAAGGTCCTGAAATGATCTTAGCTGTTAATTGGACGTTACACCCTGTACAACCCATCTACGGTGTGTACATTGCCATTCTTAGCGGAAAACTTTTGCCCTAAAAGTATAATATGAAGCTTTAACGCATTATTGGTATATGTGTTTGCCAGTTATAAACACAATTGATTGACCATTTGAAGAAGAAAATATTTGCGCTTTACCTTGCATCCCTCGCACGTGGCGACTCCGTAGTGGACCCCTGTAGCATGGTCGTTACAGACCCGACAGTCTCCGAAAGGAAACGGCACGGCCCCTGCTGGCATGGTCAGATCGTAGTCGAGTCTTGCTTTGACGTTGAAGCAGCTCCTGCATAACATATAAATATCATCTACTGTTTCTCCGATTAAGAAATCATTTATCTACTGTCTGACACCTTTGAAGTTTAGATCAAGTTTTGAAAGTTGTTTTCACACAGGAAAAGGAAAGCATATCGTACTTGAAAAGCTATGAACAAATTGATTAAATGTCAAATGTTTCCGACATTGATGCTCCTTTTGTGTGGGAGACATGTTCGCTCATTTGTCGGGAACATTTCGTAATTCTCATTTAAAAATTATTTTAATGAATGTTATCTCTGTGAAAGTTCATGTAATGATATTTTATAGGACTTCATTTAATGTGTATTTATTGTGAAAGATGACCTGTGTTTTCATTGAATACATTGGATTGGTTGTTCAATATAATGAATAATGAAGCAATAAGTGTAAAAGTATAACAAGGTTACAAAAAGGACTCGCGTGCATTAAAAGTGTACATATATCTATTATAGTAGTCAGATTTATGCTATGCTGCTAATACGAGAAATAGTACTTGAATAAATAGCTTTCTTCGACAAAAGTTTTGAAATGAGTTGTCAGCCTGACACAGAAATGAGTTGTCAGTCTGACACATAAATGCGTTGTTAGTCTTATACAGAAATGAGTTGTCAGTTTGACACAGAAATGCGTTGTAAGTCTGACACAGAAATGTGTTGTAAGTCTTATACAGAATGAGTTGTCAGTCTGACACAGAAATGAGTTGCAGTCTGACACATAAATGCGTTGTTAGTCTTATACAGCAATGAGTTGTCAGTCTGACACAGAAATGAGTTGTCAGTCTGACAGAAATGAGTTGTCAGTCTGACACCGAAATGAGTTGTCAGGTTGACACAGAAATGAGTTGTCAGTCTGACACAGAAATGAGTTGTCAGTCTGCCACATAAATGCGTTGTCAGTCTGACACAGAAATGAGTTGTTAGTCTTATACAGAAATGAGTTGTCAGTCTGACACAGAAATGAGTTGTCAGTCTGACATATACATGCGTTGTTAGTGTTATACAGAAAAGAGTTGTCAGTCTGACACAGAAATGCGTTGTAAGTCTGACACAGAAATGTGTTGTTAGTCTTATACAGAATGAGTTGTCAGTCTGACACAGAAATGAGTTGTCAGTCTGACACAGACATGAGTTGTCAGTCTGACACAGACATGAGTTGTCAGTCTGACAAAGAAATGAGTTGTCAGTCTGACACAGAAATGAGTTGTCATTCTGGCACAGAAATGAGTTGTCAGTCTGACACGGAAATGAGTTGTCAGTCTGACACAGAAGTGAGTTGTCAGTCTGACACAGAAATGAGTTGGCAGTCTGACACAGCAATGAGTTGTCAGTCTGACACAGACATGACTTGTCAGTCTGACACAGACATGAGTTGTCAGGCTGACAAAGAAATGAGTTGTCAGTCTGACACAGACATGAGTTGTAAGTCTGACAAAGAAATGAGTTGTCAGTCTGACACAGACATGACTTGTCAGTCTGACACAGACATGAGTTGTCAGGCTGACAAAGAAATGAGTTGTCAGTCTGACACAGACATGAGTTGTAAGTCTGACAAAGAAATGAGTTGTCAGTCTGACACAGAAAAGAGTTGTCAGTCTGACACAGAAATGAGTGGTCAGTCTGACACAGAAATGAGTTGTCAGTCTGACACAGCAATGAGTTGTCAGTCTGACACAGAAATGAGTTGTCAGTCTGGCACAGAAATGAGTTGTCAGTCTGACACAGACATGAGTTGTCAGTCTGACAAAGAAATGAGTTGTCAGTCTGACACAGAAATTAGTTGTGAGTCTGACACAGACATGAATTGTCAGTCTGACACAGAAATGAGTTGTCAGTCTGGCACAGAAATGAGTTGTCAGTCTGACTCAGACATGAGTTGTCAGTCTGACACAGACATGAGTTGTCAGTATGACACAGACATGAGTTGTCAGTCTGACACAGACATGAGTTGCCAGTCTGACACAGAAATGAGTTGTCAGTCTGGCACAGAAATGAGTTGTCAGTCTGACACAGAAAAGAGTTGTCAGTCTAACACAGAAATGAGTTGTCAGTCTGACACAGCAAACACATAAATGCGTTGTTAGTCTTATACAGAAATGAGTTGTCAGTCTGACACAGAAAAGAGTTGTCAGTCTGACACAGAAATGAGTTGTCGGTCTGACACAGAAATGAGTTGTCAGTCTGGCACAGAAATGAGTTGTTAGTCTGACACAGAAATGAGTTGTCAGTCTGGCACAGAAATGAGTTGTTAGTCTGACACAGAAATGAGTTGTCAGTCTGACCCAGAAATGAGTTGTCAGTCTGACACAGAAAAGAGTTGTCAGTCTAACACAGAAATGAGTTGTCAGTCTGACACAGACATCTGACACAGAAATGAGTTGTCAGTCTGACCCAGAAATGAGTTGTCAGTCTGACACAGAAATGCGTTGTCAGTCTGACACAGCAATGAGTTGTCAGTCTGACACAGAAATGAGTTTTCAGTCTGACACAGAAATGCGTTGTCAGTCTGACACAGAAATGAGTTGTTAGTCTTATACAGAAATGAGTTGTCAGTCTGACACAGAAAAGAGTTGTCAGTCTGACACAGAAACGAGTTGTCAGTTTGACACAGAAATGAGTTGTCAGTCTGACAAAGAAATGAGTTGTCAGTCTGACACAGAAATGCGTTGTCAGTCTGACACAGCAATGAGTTGTCAGTCTGACACAGAAATGAGTTGTCAGTCTGACACAGAAATGCGTTGTCAGTCTGACACAGACATGAGAGGAGAGTCTGACCCGTAAGTAATCAGTTCGACCAATCCAATACACCTTCGTTGTATCACTTAAAGCAAAGGAATACAAAAACATATAATTATTTTTTCCCCGTTCTTTGACGTTGTGTACAATCCACTGAGTCATTTAAATGATTTTGAACAGCTTCGACCTGTTTAGCTACAAGAATTGTTTTATGTCGGAAATCTAGAGCATAAGGATTTATATAAGGAATGTTCAAATTAATAATAAAGGTACAATGTTACACGCTATTAGATTCGTTTAGTACCTCTTAAGGTTTGTTGAAAGAAGATTTCTTCTGTATCTCGCAGCATGTATGTATTGATTTATTTGCCTGCTATTATTCAGCAGCTGGATGAGTTTTAATTTCACAGGTATTTTTGTTCGACGCACGCTTTACTTGAACAGTACTTGAGAAAGACTCAATCTATTTGTGATATTGGTGCGAGGCCTCCTCCAGCTTTATAAGCATAATGTGAATTATATTCAGTGGAACCAATGTAATGGATTTAATATTATAACACTAGAATGACCCTGGTTGTACATAATTACTGAGGGTACATACTCACGCTAGCTGTTAGCTTTATGTTTGGCTAGTGTATTGTTCCGAGGGGATCTCTTGTATATGACAAAAGGCAAAGTCTGAAGAAGGCATACACAAACCTAATGTCCTTTAAATAGAACAATTCAGGAGCAACTCAATATCAATATTTAGTTTAATATTGTCACCAAAATATCGATTCCACATCAAAAGTGCCTTCAATTTCTATTGCTTCATTGTATTTTTAAGTGTAAGCATTGGCCGTCTTATACAAGTTTAGCTCTCCCTCCGTGATCCTGTTTGTCAAATTATTTCTATTTCTCTCAACTGTTTTGTCATCAAACATGTCGCTCGGATTGTAAAGTTCCCTTTTTGTTAAGAGAAACCATATAATGAAAAATGTTCTCGTAGCACAGTACTGAACGCAACAGAATTTTTCGTCCTTAGATGGGGACTACTAAGGACTATCGGTCCCCGTTGTTGGGCGTAATCTTGTAGCTTTGACATGTTCTGGGGCGGTAGTACATTGAATACGAGTTCCATATAGATGGGTTGCAGCAGTTGTATAATATAACTGGTGTTTCGTTTCACGCACCTTTCCCGTTGTATTGTGAAGCTCCGATTACCACATTTTTAAGAACAATGAAGATAACATGTTGTTCAATCAAATAGTTCAACTTTCTCTATTAGACTCTTCATCAGTACTAGTTGTAACGTAATACAACGATGTGACTCTTCATCAGCACTAGTTGTAACCTAATACAACGATGTGACTCTTCATCAGTACTA